CATTATCCTCCTCCTCCTCCTAATTATAACTGTTATTGTTATTATCATTATTATTATTATTATGGTTAATATCATTACTACTGCTATTATAATTATTGTCATTATCATTATCGTTATTATCATTATTATCATTACTATTATTATCATTATCATTATCATCATTGTTATTATCATCATCATTACGATTATTACTATCATTATTGGAAATGACACCTAACACATAATCTGAAGAATCTGACTTGCTTGCCGATAAAACGTAACATTCTAAGATACTTTTCTTCTATAGCATTTTCTTCGCAAAACGATAACAAGGGCAGTATAGAAGTAAAATTCAAAATTCTCAGGCTATCCATGGTCAGTGTTTCCAACGGTCAGAAGAAAAACGTTTAAGATGAACTATCAAAATCTTTCAAGATAGAGAAATACTGAATTTCCCTATGAAATCTGATCATTTTAAGAACCATTACAGATACTTCCCATTACAAAAAATATTATTTCCTCAAGGTAAAATAACATGGGTATTTTGTGCGGTACACTTACGATAATTTTAGTATGTAAATACATGTTTTATTATATTTTCCCGTATGATTATTTTCCTGAGGGTTTTAAGGTTCTATGTACGTAATATGTGGAATGTTACTTGAATTATTCACGTTTCCGTCTGCTGTACAGTTTCCAGTCAACAACACTACACAACTTAGCTAACCATGCGCAAATTATACATTTCAGAGTATCCTGTTTCCATAAGTAATTATTGTACATATTAGTAGTTTTTTTTCATAAATCATAAAGAAATCAGAAGGACATTTTATAAGTTCAACCTAGAACTATATAATTTTGATTAAACATCAGGACTTGCAACTTCTCGGCTGATTTTATCTTTACCTCATTTTTGTTTTCTGAGATTGAAGATAGAATAATCTAAAAATCTTATACATTTTCCTTTTTTTTTTCTTTCAAGCTATTGCCTAAAATTCAAGATCTTGATTTTTTTTTCAAGCAGTGGACAACTTGTCTATGATACGTACTCTTCCATCGGAGAGAAAAAAAGATCTGAAAGCGAAGTGACGAAATAATCAGACGGAATTGTAGCGGATGACGAGAGGAATCAAATGAGTCAAGAGGAATTATATTTGTGCCTGACGTGACGATAGACAATAAGGGCCTGTCTATCATAGCCAATAAGATCTGTAACAAATACTCACGTGACAATAAAAGCTGGACTAGAGGAAAGTCACTTGAAATTCAAATCAGTTCCGTCATGGCTCGGCTGCGTTTAAAGTTCTGGAGAAATTGTTTCGGCTTTTATATGTAAATTATGGTGGTGATAACGGAAACGAGCAGCTGGTAGTGGTCGACCTTCCATCCGAAAGTGACGACGATGATCCTGGCAACATGCAAGCTGGCTTTTCCGGGTTTATTGGTCAAGAATTTATTTGCTCAGGCTCTATCGTACCAGAGCATTCGAGGTGAAGTTCATCAGGCGAATGAAAAGGGGGGAGGGGGGCGACATATCTCCCTGAAAATTGGTTTATAGGGGGTACCCCCTAATTATTATAAATGTTTATCGAAATAACTAAATTGCTTCTAGATTTCCTTCGATCATTCGTTTTTACCTCGCAATTTTCCTGATATTTATCATAACCTCCCCAGCTATCGGGATTGATACCGTAGTTGTGATTTGTTTACGACGGAAAGAATAAAGATAAGTAAGATATGCGAAGCCTCGCCTCGTCCGCAATATGCCTGTGAAGCCCAAACCTTGGCGTGACGCGAACTGGTGATACCTCGACTGTCCAATCTCGGCTAAGAGCTTACATTATTGAGATATTTCTTGGAGAAAAATGTATCATACGTTAGTGATTAAGTAAACAGACAATCTATGACCATGTGATTAATAATTATAGTAATTATATCCTTTTTTTGTTACTTTTTCTTCACATATTATTCAAATATATTTCATATCGATTTCAAGAGTAAGGTACTTGGAGACCGCAGTCACTTGCAATATGTATTTGGGCATACCAAGTCATTACTAATGATTCGAATCTAGTCAATTTCAGTCTTAAATATGTTAATAAAAATAGATTAATAATGCTGTGATGCTAGGATTAGTAGTAAAGAGCAAAATCATGACTTATGTATATGCTTTTATCTGTGGATGTATGAGAGAGAGAGAGGGATACAAACATTGCAATGAGATATTCCTTTGTGAATTATATCGTTCCTCCTGTGATATTGACGGTGCCCTCTGTTGATTTACCAATAAGATATGCGGTTATTCAATTAATCGATAAGTTTAAGAACTAGGACAGCAGAATAAGATTAGAACATTCATATACCATGTGCATAACATAAAATGATCATGGCTTAATTATCAAAACGCTAATTTTCACAGTTATACCATGTGCTAATGGAAGTAACTATTCTTATCTGCTATACCTGTTTGAATGTATAGCACGATTGATTTCAGACTACCTTTATGTTTGGAGTTATGTTG